AATTCTCGGTTTTCAGTTGGGTTGCGCATGATAATTTTTGTAAGTCCGACAAAAAATTTAAACGCAGAAAGAAAAGTCTCCGAGAATTTTTTTTACGTATGCAGGTTCTTCTATGTATTGGATAGAGTCTTAAGTGAGGGTATTTTTTTTGTTGTTAACAAAATCAGCCGAATTTGATGGTTTTCGTGGCCTTACACTGTACTAAGACTGAAACAACGAATTTTTACTAGTATTATACTGAAATAATAACTATTAAAAGTATCAAAAATGTCTCGGATATTAACTCTTTTCAAGCCAACGTATACCTTTTTTTTAATCTTCAAAACTTTTTTTTAATCATCAAATTCACAACATTTTTTGTAATATTTTAATTTTAAATTTTACATTTTACTTTTTAAACTGCGAACGCATTGCTGAACAACTTATAATGGCAACTTCATTTAGTTACATTCAAACAAAGTTTTTTGTTTAACCTGTAACGCGGCGTACCGATCAGTTTTGCTGGCTGTCTGGACCCTTGGGAAAAATTTCTGTTTTAATCGTGCGCGCTAATCAAATTTATTGATATTGTGTCTACTACTAACATTATTTTGCTGAACAACTTTCTGTTATCGGTTTTATAAGTGATCGTCTAAAATTTTTTTAAAGTTGTGCTGTTCGTCTATAAATATTTTCGTTCCTGTACGGGGGTTGGCCTGCAATCATCGGTAGCGGAGTGAATCAACGACGATCATGTGACAACCAACTACTTTTTCGTTCAAGTGGACCACTTTTTTAATAAGGTACATTTTAGCGAGTGTCTTCGTGTGAAGTTTACCTACCTACACGAACTTACTTTGCTTTAAAAATATTTCTCACCTCTAAACTTGTACATCAAAAACAATACCATCGCTCTCTTTAAATTGTTTGAGTTTGGTAATGTTAAATCAGGACAATTTGCTGGGTTACAAATACTAATTACGTTTCTGCTCGTATACATTTTTTTGGCAAATGAAACAAACTTTTTAAAAAACTGAACCGGCTTGATCGACATTTGGGTAGTGTAGTAGCTCCAAGATAAGTAGTGTTTCGCACTTTCTGATTGTGTGATCTTCCTACATTTCTTTCCTTTGCGTATGTAGTTTGCTATTATCGCGCTCGCTAGTTATCAAGGGACGATGGCAGTGTCTTTCTTGAGTAGAGGGTGTTTGAAAAGTCACTGGTCGCCGCGGTGAGTTGGCGTTGACGCTGATCGGGCTGACGAAATAGCAAAATAGTACTACACACTGATTTTCAAAGACAGGTATGCAGAAGGGATTTTAACGTAAGTACACCCATTCTTGAGTTAACTGACTGTTGATTAACGCGAGTGTTCTACGTGTGCAGACGTATTTTTTTATCTCGCCGCTGGATTTTTAGTAACTCTGCGATCGGTATCGGCACACTGTAACGTACTCTCCTGCCTATAAGGTCTTTTTCCTTGCACATTTAGGTTTTAACAATCGCGCTCGCTGCTTTATTTGGGTTGTCAACAGCACTCTTCTCGAGGGCGTGTTCTTCAACTATCACCGGTCGTCGCAGTAGATGATCGGCTTTGACATCGATCGGGCTGACGAAATCGTAAAGTACCGTACACTATTTTTTCATCACAGCAAGTAAAGAGAAGATATTTTCACGTAAGTACACCCACTCTTGAGTTAACTGACTGCCACTATGAAAAAGCCGCGAGTGATCTACGTGTGGAGACTTATGGTTTCATCTCACCGCCGGAGGTTTTAGTAGCTCTGCGATCGGCACCGTTACACTCTCACGCTAACGTTTAACATTTCTCTCCTGCCTAAAAAATCCCTTTCTTTGCGTATTTAGATTTCAACAATCGCGCTCACTTCTGTACTTTAGTTGACGACAGCCTTCTTCTCCAGAGGAAGCTCCGTAACCAGCTCGTAACTGTTACCGTTCGCCGCAGAGAGTCGGATTTTTCGCCGATTTCGTAAATATAATTGTAGATTGTTATTTATCAAACAGGTACACATTTTGTTTAGGGGAACTGTTTCTGAATGGCATTACTGTTGCTCTGGCTCTGAGTGATAGTTTGACTCAGTTTGCTTCAGTATAATAACGATTTTTTTCGTCAGATAGTGCAACAGCTGTGTAATAGCTCTTGTAATGCTTTTGTTTTCGATTTCTATCTACATTCCTTTTTTTTAGTGATATCACGACCTAGGTATTCGCTTAGTGGTCTGGATATAAAAATAATTTCGGTATTCTAGCAGATTGAAAAAAATCATGAGTCATTGCTGGCTTTGATTCGAGACAACAGCCTTGTTGATTTTGTTCTAAGATACTATAGAAGTACAAAAGTGGTAATTTCAGTATTACTGTTGTATAGTCCAAACCTTGTCAAATCGCCAAGGTCCGGAAATTATAAGAGGAAATTTCTTTAATAATATAAATTAACAAAAAACAAAATAAAGGAAAGAAACTTGTTAGCAAATTCAATTTATTGAATGAAAATAATCTAAATTACGAATGCAGTGCTTAATCAAACTGAAATTTCTATTGCATAAAAACATAAACTATGATAAATTAAACAATAAATGAAGAAGTGTGAGTCAAACACAAATGTGGGTGTGTGTGTATGTGTATCGATGAATATATTGTCAATGCGACTCGTCGTTGATCGACGGCGCGGGTCGTATTGGCAACGGCGCTGGGTGGTGAATCTGCGGTGTGGATATCACCGGTGGCTCAGAGCCCTGATCGTCGGCGACGAGCCGGAAGCGTGACGCGCGTGTTATAGTCCACGAGGACAATGTGTAATGTGCGCACGATTCTTATGCATGGGATTGTGTGAGAAAGAATGAGTGGTAAGAACGAGATCAAATAAAAACGTCTAAAATTTTAATGCCACGATCAAACGGATACAGCTATCCGATTCTCAAGAGAGTCAGAAAAATTTTGACATGAAACCGGGAAATGTGCATCGCCTCGGCAATAGCCCTCAAGCCCTCTCCCTCTGCTACTACTCGTAATTTGTTGGGGGCAGTGTGCCGAGCGAGTGTGTGCTGAGTAAGTACGATTTATGTTAAATTGAGAATAAAATTTAAATAACGAAAGCATACACAAGTAAAGGTTAAGCTACGGTATCGTATAATCGTACTTACTCAGATATTTAACTTTTCCTCCATTTAGGAAGCAAAGCTTTTAAGTGTGCAGAGTCGTTATGATTCTGTAAGTTCGGCCTACTCTATATTATGCTGAGACTTCCTTTTCTTTGTAATTAATTTTTTATATCAACTGAAACCGATTTGATTGCATACCTACAAACTGCATATAAAATTTTACGTTACATGCGGACAAATTGTATGGAGACGTTTGAAAATAAAGAGCAATATCCTCCACGAACAGGGAAGTTACTCGATTCACTACAAAGTGTTCTTAAGATTAAGAATTAGATCTGAAGTTATAAATTCGTAAAAATTAGCATGTTGTTTTTTTTTTTTATATTCAAATTAATCATAAATCGTGGTATGTGATCCCATTGGGTCATTGAGGATAAGCCGCTTGGGATTTTGCTTACTAATAAATAAAAAAAAGTGCGGCCAAGTAAGCGCACTGGGTCGTTGGGGATTAGCCGCTTGAGATTTTTATTACTAATGAATAAAAAAAAGTGCGGCCAAGTAAGCGCACTGGGTCGTTGGGGATTAGCCGCTTAGGATTCAAGCGATCATTGGTAGAAAGTTGTTTCAATAACATAACTTTATTGGGTTCATTTAGATTCTTTACTTGGGTTGAGTTACAGGGCGTATTTTAGATTCAATAGCATAAAATTATCTTTAGCGCAATGGGTTATCGGGGATTAGGCATTTGGATTTCATGTGTTCGGGCTTTGAGCGCTGTGTCTTTGAGTTTCAGACGTTCAAACGACGCGCAGTCGCTCGGCCAATCAGAGGCCAGCTGCGCACAAGTGTGCGCGAGTTCTCAGCACGATCTCGGCACACTGCCCCCAAGAAATTACGAGTAGTAGCAGAGGGAGAGGGCTTGAGGGCTATTGCCGAGGCGATGCACATTTTCCGGTTTCATGTCAAAATTTTTCTGACTCTCTTGAGAATAATTTAAAAGAAGCGCGGCCAGTAAGCGCACTGGGTCGTTGAGGATTAGCCGTTTGGGATTTTGCTTACTAATAAATAAAAAAAAGTGCGGCCAAGTAAGCGCACTGGGTCGTTGGGGATTAGCCGTTTGGGATTTTGCTTNTGGAAAATGAGTATTTTATAAAATTTTGCTACTCACTTCGTCCTACATTTATTGTTCCAAAACGAGATGACATGTCAAATCGATTATTAAATTCAGTGCATAGTGAAGTTGAAACTAGTGTCGAGAGTAAAATTAAAAATGCTAGCAATATATCAATACAATGTGATGGTTACTCAAATCTGATGAACGAGGGCATAATTCATTTTATTTGAACTAAACCTACTCTTGTTTTTTTTAAAAGCATAGCAACTAAAACAGATACTGGAGATGAAAAATATCTAACAGAAAAAATTTCAGAAGTTATTGAAGAAATTGGTGTTGATAAAGTTTTAGCTGTAACCACAGACAATGCATCTTATTGCAAAAAAGCTTGGAATATTTTACAAGATAAATATGGTATCTTTGCGTATGGTTGTGTAGCTCACATACTAAATCTCTTGGTAAAAGATGTGGCGCGACAACCATCAATCAATAAGATTATTCGAAGTAGCACAGCCATCATAAAAGAGATTAAAAAATCTCATGTGTTGTCTATTTTATTAACCAAAATTCAAAATAATGTATCTGATGATGAAGAAAAAGTTCACATCATACTTAAACTTCCAGGAAAAACTAGGTAGGGGTCACATCTTACAAGCTTAAAAAGCTTGTATCAAAACCGCTTCAACTTACAAAAGTTGGCTGTATCAAGAAAAGCAGAGAAAGTATTAGATAAATTATAAAGAAAATTAATTTTCGATGATGAATTTTGGTTACAAGTTAATCAATTTATTGCTCTTCTTGAACCGATTGTAAGATGGTTATTTAAGTTGGAAGGAGATGATTCAAGATAAAGCGAGGTGGTTGAAATGTTTGCAGTTTTGGAAAATGACACGAAAAAATACCAGACTTCAAAAATTCTGCTAACGCCAAACGAATGGAACAAGATATTAATTGCCTGCAAAAATCGTTCTCAAATGGATTTGAGGCCAATTCATTTTGCAACTAATATTTTAGACCCGTCTTACAAAGGTAAGAACTTGACTCCAGATCAATTATCAAAAGGTCGTGCAATGATTTTCAAACTTGCCAAAAAATTTAATTTGGAAAACGATAAGTTGGCGGTTGAATTGATACAGTACAATTCTAATAAAGGTATGAAATTTTTATTTATTTAATCTTTAATAAAATTTTATGCAGTATTATTTATCACGATTATATTTTAGGCATTTGGGCAGAACAGTTTATTCAGAGCTCTATAAATCTAGTCAGTCCTCTAGATTGGTGGACAGGAACTTGTAGTGGAGCTTTATTATGTCGTATTGCAAAAGCTCTCTTCGAACTTCCCTGTTCTTCAGCAGCTACTAAAAGATCTTTTAGCACGTATGGGTAGATACATACACCAAAAAGAAATAGACTGAAAATTGAGAGAGCTTGCAAGTTAACATATGTTGCTTACAATCTTTCTCTTTTAAATCCAAAACAAAAATTAAAAAAAAAGTCTATCAAAGAAAATCAAGATCTTATAGAAGATGTAAATTCTGATGATGAAGTAGAAACGGAAGATGAATGTGAAGGGTCCAATGAAGCTGATGTGGTCGATGAAAATATATCTGACAATGATATAGATGAAGAGTACAACGACATACAATACCAACTAAACATTCCAAATGATCTCAATGGTGTTCAACGAAACGACTCTCTGTTTGATGTTGAGAATATGCCAATAGCTTATATGTGATATAATATATTCGTAGTATAAAGGCATATATTTTTAAAGAATATATTACAAAAAGTTTTGATAGTCTTCACCAAAAAATTGTTAATTATATTAATTTTTGTACTAAGAATCTACACTAGTTCAATTTGCAAGATACTAAAAAATATTGTGTTCAAAAGTGTAATAAAAATAGAAACATTATTTTTGTAATAATATAATAAATTTTTTTTTGTACAATTCTGTTTTGATTTTAGAATGACGAAATTCATGACAAATTATTTCATGACGGTCACATGCCGGTCATGTCATGCGTTTTTTCATGACGCGTCATATCGCATCCCTAGTGGGGATTGGCGCTTGCTTATGATATTATTCATTTTAAGTTAAGTAAGTGACCAGTAAGCTTCTTGTGTTGCCTGCTAATTGGCGTTCCAGTTATTATTTTATTTGTTTTAAATAATTAAGATGACCAGTAAGCGTCCCATGTTGTGAGGGGATCGGCGCTCTCTAATTATTATATTCATTATAAATAATTAAAGCGACCAGGAACCTAGCTGAAAATTTGTCATAAGGTCTTATATAAAATTCTTATATCTTATGTAATTTCTTATGTAGTATCTGATGTAAGTTCTCATATAAGTTCGTTTAACAGAACTTGTGTCAGAACTTATACACGAACTTGCATTTGCTCTTCAACCAAGAACTTACATAAGATCTTTTATAATTTCTTATGTAAGTTCTTATAAATTAGTAAAAAAAAAAAAAAGCATCTCTTACCTCCACTAAGGGGATTTGAACCTGGTCCAGAGACTCTCTAGTCAAGTGTCTTACCCACTTGGCCAGAGTGGATTCGATACATGGCAAAGAATTGATGTCCTCGTAAGGTACATCTGATACTAACATCGATGTTATTATTAAGTCCTCAAGTTATTACTTTTTACAATCTCTGATACTAGTTAAGAAATGTTTTTTCATTTTTTATTGAAATCTAATCCTTTTTTAAAATCCTTTATTTTATGTATAAACTTAAGTATATCATAAGAATTTATATAATTTTTTGAGTAATGTATAAATAAGAGAGAAATTATTTTTGCTGCTGGTTTTCGATACCAACTTTATAGTATTGAAGAGAAAAAGTTAATCGTCAACTTTGTTGTAGCAATTACAATAAATTTATTACACTTTTAAAAGTAGATTATTTTTCCCTTATAATAAAAAGTATATAAGTAAACTTCAAATAAAATCCGTGAACGAAAAGTAGTTGTGAAATCAATTACTAGATTTATCGTCGAGAAACGCATTATCAGACTCAAAACAATTTTATATGTATATATTTATAAAAAGTTTATTAACCAATGAGGTAACTAAGGTGGTAAATGTTAACTACAAAATAAAAAAATAAACATTAGTTTTAGAAGTACCTTATGAGGACATCAATTCTTTCCCATGTATCGTATCCACTACGGCTAAGTGTGGATAACACACTTGGCTGGAGATTCTCTAGACCAGGTTTAAATTCCCTTAGTGGAGGTAAGAGATGTTTTTTTTGGTGTTTACTAATTTATATTAGCTATTCTAACAGTTTTCATGCAGAAAAAATTTTAATATTTACCGTGTATGTATATAGATAGTGATTAAATACATTTAAACGACTGTTTCACGAACTCTTATAAGAACTTACATAAGAACTTACGTAAGAAATTACATAAGATCTTGTGTAAGTTCTTGGTTAAGGGGGCTCCTACGACTACTGCTGAGGTCAAAGACAAACAAAAAATAAAGTTTTGTTTTTCAATAAACAAATATGTCTGAAAATCGTTATGATATTTTTAATAACGTATGAAGTGGGAAAAATGATATTTATGTGTACAGTTTAACTTTGTACGAAAAATTAATTATTGTTTTGACCAGTCTAGTGCATACGAGGGTACACCACCAGACCAGATCACCTGTGTTGGTGTAGTATAGCGATGTAATATATAGGTATATGGTATATATATGTCGTGAACAAGTACGTCTGCTACTGACCTCCCAGACACTATTTATTTATTTCCATCACAAATATTTCGCTAAAATGGTCCTTTATCCACAATTTTTTAATACAGCATATTACAGAGGAAGACTTCATCTACAAAACGTATATATTCAGTCTGCTGGGACATTTCATTTAGGTTTATTATAACCGAAAACAAATTGTTTTTCACGCTGCCCCATAGGAACACGTGCTATTAGTTACAACTTTGAGCTCGGATTTCTCAAAATTTTGACCCATTCGAAATATAATTTAGACCACCATTAAATTCAGTAGACTTTTATTTACAAGAAATAATATATCTCTGTTTGGGGACTTTCGTGAAGGAGCCCCCTTAATAAGCAAATGTAAGATCGTGTACAAGTTCTGACATAAGTTCTATTCAAAGAACTTACATGAGAACTTACATCAGAACGTATGTAATAAATTACATATGAAATTACGTATGAATTACATAAGAAACTATATAAAGACTTGTATAAGAACTTATGACAAATTTTTAGCTGCGAAACGTCCTGGGTTGTGTGGAAATTGGTGCTTATGTCATCATTTCATTTATTATAAATAATTAAAGCGACCAGTAAGCGCCCCAGATTTTGTGGGGATGGAGGGTTATGTAATTGTTGGATACTCTATGAATAAATAAAGTTTCCAGTAAGCTTCCAGGTTATGTTAGGATTGGCAATTGCCTTATTATTTTATTTATTGTAAATAAAGTAATTTTCCAGTAAGCGCACTGTTGATTGGCGCTTGTGTTACTATTTTATTTATTATCGATATTTAAAGCAACCAGTAGGCGCCCCGAGTCATGTGGGAATAGGCGCTTGCATCATAATTTAATTCATAGTAAATTAAGTAAGCGACCAGTAAGCCACCTCGGTTGTGTGGGGATAGGTGCTTGCGTTATTATTTTATTTATAGTAATTTTAGTAAGCGACCAGTATGCTCCCCCGGTTGGGGGATATGCGCTTGTGGTATTATTTCATTAATCATAAATACTTAAAGCAACCAGAAAGTGCCCCTGGTTGTAAGGGGATAGGCGCTTGCGGTATTATTTTAATAATCATAAATATTTAAAGCAACCAGTAAGCTCCCCTGGTTGTGTGGGGATATGCGCTTGCGGTATTATTTCATTAATCATAAATACTTAAAGCAACCAGTAAGTGCCTCTGGTTGTGTGGGGATAGGTGCTTGCGTTATTATTTTATTTATAGTAATTTAAGTAAGTGACCAGTAATTGCCCCTGGTAGTGTTGTGATATGCGAATGCGGTATCATTTTATTCATCATAAAAAATTAAAGCAACCAGTAAGTGCCTCCCGTTGTGTGGAAATAGGTGCTTGCGTTATTATTTTATTTATAGTAGTTTAAGTAAGTGACCAGTAAGTGCCCCTGGTTGTGTGGGGATATGCGCTTGCGGTATTATTTTATTTCTTAATCAATAATCCCATTGGCCAGTAAGTGCCCCAGGTTATGTGATGATTGGCAATTGTGTTATTTCATTTATTTAATTAACAAACAAATTGGCCAGTAAGCATCTCGGGCTGTAAGGGGATTTGCGCTTGCATTATTATAATTATAATATTAATTAACAAAGCTGCCAGTTAGCGCCCCGAAATGTGTGGTAATTAGCGCTTGTGTTATTTTATTTATTTTATTAACAAACAAAGTGGCCGTAAGCGCCCTTAGGATGTGTGGTGATTGGCGCTAGTGTTATTTTATTTATTATATTAATTAACAGAGCTAGCAGTAAGCGCCCCGGGTTGTGTGGTGATTGGCGCTTGTGTTATTTTATTTATTTAATTCACAAACAAATTGGCCAGTAAGCATCCCGACTTGTGAGGGGATTGGCGCTTGCATTACTTTATTTATTATATTAATTAACAGAGC